CCCCCATATCCAACAAAAACACACAACAAAACAAACAAAAAACAATTTTTAAAAACCCTCAAAACTATTCTGATCCCCTTACTGTTTCGTTGCAAAATTTTGTGATTAACATTAAATGCCTTTGTTAGGGTAAAAAAAAAATAATTAAAAAATCAAAACAGCTGGTTCTTCAAATAACATCAAAGCAACAAAATGAATCAGACATACATTTTAGGGAAAATATCAAATTGATAAACACAAGAAACATAACCCTCTTCCCCACATAATAGATAAAATATTTATAAAGCTAGTTTTATAGATGACTTCAGACACTGACACTATCATATGTTTGGCTTTAAATAGCATCAGGTCAAAGACCTTCTTAGAATAGGACAAAACAACACTCACCTTTTTTCTATCTCTTTCTCAACCATTTTCTTGGCATTTGACAATTTCTTTTTGCTGAGGTTTGACAGACCCTAAAGTAAGAAAAATATAGCAAAGTCAATGGAAAGAACAAAAAGCTGCTTATGCAATCAAAAATTAAAGAAAACAAACAACCTATTTAATTAGTCAAAAGCACATAACTCTTTCCAAGCACATACTATACTATGTCCACCTTCAAAGACAAAGCTTGACCTCAGATCTGGTAAAATGCCATTCATATGCCACAGCCCCTCCGGTAGAAAGTGGGAAGAGGGTATTTGCATTTTCTGACAGGCCTTTCTTTGCTTTGAGTTTTGCCTATCTTATCTTTTAAGATCTATCAACTACTGGCCCACAAAGGAAAACTTTCTGGGAATTAATCAAAATCGTTTAAAATCGAAGACTCCATACACTGGTGATTGACAATAAGTTCCTACCTGACAGGCAAACAGATGGGCTGGCACACCCTGGGCCACCACACAGGTGAGGCAATGGTTACCATAGTTGTCCAGCCCCCGGTCTCCAGACATGAGGAAAAGTACCACATCAGCGGTTCGTGCTGCATCCAAAAGGCCCTGAAGATTGCCATGCTCAGCGACGACAAAACACATTCGTTTCTTGAGCTTGGGGGCACTGAAAAAGAGTTTTTGGGGATGAAAAATAAGTAATTGAGGGAGAAAAAGTTGGTTAATTTGTCATTCAGGATGTTAGAGTACTACCACAATGCTTTATTAAATAGAGGACAGACCCAAGGGCTAGAACCCCGGTGGCCGCTGGATCAGAAAAGTATTTACTAGAGGAATGAAGATGAACTCATTGAACAAAACAAAATTACCTGAACTTCAATTCAATGGCAAAGGAATAAAAGACAGTGGAGAACGCACTATGGAAATACAACAACAACCATTCACAGGATTACACAACACACCATAATGGTATGTCAAACAAAAACGCACTATGGAAATACAACAACAACAACCATTCACAGGATTACACAACACACCATAATGGTATGTCAAACAAAATTAAGAGAGACGATAATGAAAGAATTTTAAACACAAATAATCATGAATGCAAATACAGTGGAAACCTGCTATAACAGGGATGGTGGGAGTAGAGAAAATGTCCTGTTATATCCGATCCCTGTTAAATCAGAAATGCAAAAAAAGTAAGCATTTGCGGATTAATCCAGCTGTACTTATTCATCGGTAGTGCCCCTTGCCACAAGTACCCACGAACAGAGGATTTGGCACCAACTTTCTCCTTGCCTCCTTAAACCACATCAGAAGAGCTTGGTCCACAGCATCTGCATCGGGTAGTTTCGAGTCTCATCTTCTTTCGGTCCAGAGCAAACTTTCCATTGGAGTATGCTGCTACTATCTTCTCTCTATCCTTGATAATGGTGTGAATCGACCCTTGCAGGAAGTCGAACTGACGAAAAATCTCTGCCAGTGGAACTTGTTTTTTGTCAACAGCCTCGATTATTTCGTATCTTTTGTCAATTGAAAGGCATTTTCTCTTGCGTTTGACATTGTCGGAGGCTATAATGAAAGAAGTAGGCTTAGATCTAGGTCGACCAGTCGTCCACAGAGTGCTTTAAGCTTAGATCTACACATGTACTGTTGTTAGCTTTGTCCCTGCTATAACCGGTTGGGCTCTGCTGAGGCCCTGTTATTGCCGATAACTTTTAATAGAGACAAAGAGTAGGAAAAGACGGGGATTTTAAAAATCCCTGTTATTACCGGGCCTGTTATATATGGTTTCTACTGTAATGCTACACTAAAGATTGAACAGCAGGAGGCCAGACAATTTTTAAAAAATGAGGTGCAAAGACTAGCTGATTATGCAGAACTACAAGCAAGCTCACCTGACATGTAAAACATTGCGTTCACCGCTCTTCACCTCTGCAGACAAGTCTGCTTCCTGCAGCAAGTTGATGACTACAGGGACATCAATGTTTTTGTCTAAGCTAGCCACAACCTGAAAAAAGGAAGAGAAAATTTGACTCTGAATCAGCAGTTCACATGAGACAAACATTACCTTGTTTTCAAACTCAGAAGCGGTAACAGAGCTTATTAAAAATAGAGAACACAAGATGATTGACACATGTAAATGTAATAATGTCATGATGAAAGGTTAGAATAATTCTTCAGATTCAGAGGCATACTTCACAAGTTACGTTTATTCATATGAAAAAAAAAAAAAAATTAAATTACCCTATACACAAAAAAAAACTATACTCTGCAAAGACAGGGTCACAGAATTATGGAATATTTCATGGAGCTCAAAGGTAAGAAATGCCATAAAAAGACACTTGTAAACATTACATACACATTATCTAGTTCTCTACACAAGTATGATTCAATCATTTTACATTAACAGTGATTCTACAGATATGATAAGAGACTTGTGCATACAGAACAGTTAAAATCCATGGCCATTCATAGCTTATTCCCTCTTTTTAAGCATTTTGAGCTTTTCAATCTATCAAAATCTGATGATCTCCATGTAGAGGGAAGCAAGCATAGTTTAGTAGTGTCAGGCAGAGGTTACCAACTGCTACTCAAAGAACAAATAAGATTACCTTTAGACCCACTCCCTCTGGTAATATATCTCAGGCCCCTGTCATTGTTAGTCACAGAAAAAAGGCAGTGATATTTGAATTTGAAAATGTGATAAATTAGGACAAAATACGAACCACTAGACGGGGTGGGTCAACAGTGGCTCCTCTTCTTTGATCAAAGGATTCCTCTCTCCCATCTGCATGACGCTGAGCATTCTGTCGAAAAGACCATTATATTATAACAGTTAAACTGATTAAAGAAAAAGAATCTATACATAAAGAAGTATGGCTCAATGACAAAAAAACCCAACATGTTTCCATATTTAACCATGTCAGCACAGCACTACCTACTACAAGCGTATCTACCCCTTTACTCTTACAGCTATGCACCAAGCGCATGTTTCAATGGGTTGTGGGGTATATCAAGCAGTCAATGCACAGGAGCCCAGGACCTGTAGGCTAAACTTAATCATTCAGTCATCTCTACAAACGAGTAAGTACATGTGTGAGGTGAAATGTACCAAGGTAATCAAAGAAACGTACAAGTTTTGAGTCCAAATTAAAAGACAGCCGTCTATTGACAAGGAGAAAAATGGCCATCTTATAGTTACAGTTCACTACAATGTAAGAAACATGCACGGGAAGAAATGGGAAGTGGCAATTTGAACACGTAATTGTTATATTTATGCAGGCAGCCGTTAGAGTAACTTCCGTTGTATTTTCAATGAAACAAAAATGGAAAGATATAAATTGTAAGTGTTATTATGGAACTGAACCACGGCAGTTTTTTTGGTTTGAAGTTTAACATATCGAGGGCTGCCAAGTAAACTATGGTAAGTTATGTTTTTCAAATTTTACAGGAGAGACAAAAACTGGATTTTCTTGAAGCGTTTTGGTTGGATAAACTTCATTTTCATAAGGGAGCCTAATGTCTGTCATGGCATTTGTAGGCTCCCTTATGAAAATAAAGTTTATCCACCCAAAACGTTTCAAGAACATCCATTTTTTTTTTCTCTCCTGTAAAATTTGAAAAACCTGACTTACCATAGTTTACTTTGCGGCCCTCGAATCATATCATCAGAAAACAAACAAAAGTTAGTTTACAGTTGTTTGTTTTCTCACTCATCTGTTTCTTTGCAAAAGAGAGTTTTTTAATGATAATAAACTTGGAATCACCTCCTTAAATAATTAACAGCGCTCAGAACATTGTGGTGACCGTTAAGCAACTGAAGCCGACTGGGTTGGTATGTTCTGACCAGAACCTGCTAATGGACACGACAACACAGCCATCAATTACTGAGCACAAAAACAACAGTTTACAATATAACATTCCACTAAATCTACTACTAAGGGACAACAAGAAAAAGGGCAAAAGATTCCCTTGACTTCATAAGCTTACAAGTTACTGAATTTACATAAATTGTAGGTGTAACTTTTTATTTTTGCCACAGAAACATACCTCTGACCTCAGCAGTTCTTTTATCTTCTTTTTCTTTGTAATGTCTTTCACATTTGTCGTCTTGCCTGGTGGAAAATAGAAAATTATGTGACATCAAAGACAGATAAAAAAGCATTCCCCCATTCCCGACCTAATAAAGATATTTTACAAACATAATCGAACATATGTGGAAATGGTCCATGAAATTGAAAAACAAACAAAACAGACGCAACTAGCGAGTAAGTGATATTCTGAATAGAACTTTTGCTTGAACAAGACAATGTAAAAATGTGATCAGAAGTAAGTCAGTCCAAGAGGTTGGAAAGTTTGACAGAAAAAGTATCCAGTGTCTACGTACACGGTAACAGGCAACAGGGCACGAAGTCTCAGTCTCATGTACACGGTAACCGGGCATGTAGCCTCAATATCTACGTATGCGGTAACCGGCAACTGGGGACGTAGTCTCAGTGACAGTGTCACGTACACACGGTAACCGGGCAGTTCAGAACTCCAAGTTCAGTTTTTGTCATCCGGTGTTGCCTTCATTCCCACCCCTCCCCTGACTGTACTTTTTTTTTAAATCAATAATCTCCCCCATTCCGGAGCCCTACACTTCGCAGAGCACAGACTTTGAATGAACTTTGGTGACCCCACAGGTCATGATGGCGAGCCCAACAAGACGCTTTTTCGGTTGTTCCCACCCCGCAATTGTTATTCGCCGGTTTTGGCCCAAAGAATAGGGGGGTTTCAGGGAGGCATGCCCCCCCTGACCTAATAAAAATAAGGTGGGGGGGTTTCAGGGGCCCCCCCCCCCTGATTTTACCATAATTTGATGTTTTGCAGTTGTTAGGTTTGATATTTTAGCTCGCCGCGCATCAAACGTATAGATCTAGGATGTAGATTTAGGCTCAAATAAGGGGGGGTGAGAACTACCGAAAAAGCACCCTTTTTTGTATGACTTTCTTTTTTTGGATTGTCTGCGTACACGGTAACTGGGCGCTTAGCCTCAGGGTCTACGTACACGGTAACCAGGCACGTAGTCTCAGTATCTACGTACACGGTAACCGGAAGGTCCAAGAGATAGTTCACTCAGCCCTAAAAAAGTGTCTCTTTTATAGTTTTTCACACAAGTAGTGGAGATTTTTTAAAATAATGTAACTACATGTACAAAGTCATAGTCAAGTCTACTTCTGACAAACTCAACAAATAAAGCTATCCTCATATCGTTTTATCCCACGTGTATGTTGTGTGATTTGTGTGTGTGTAACATGCTATGTATTAAATACATATAGAGGCTATTCACACGTGTTATGCATGAGGAGTGTCTCTCTCTCTCTCTGTGTGTTTATGTATGTTTGAGTGAGATTGTAAGTGTGGTGTGTGTAAAGATTGTATTAGTGGGTGGTTGGTGGGTGCTCTTGTGTGGTCTGCTCCTTTTCTCCTATTCAACATCTATCATCTTTATCTTTGTCTTCCTTCTTTTTGTGTTTGTTACTCTCTTGTAACACTAACACCGCTAATCTTCGGCACTTATATTAACTTATTGTGTTGCAAGTGCTAACTCTTACAAAAACAAAAGATAGTTTTAGAGGTATGAACATGGCACTTTGGCGGAAAGAGGAAGTGTATGCGAGGTACCGAAGCTCGATCATTTGCCGGTAGCAGTCTGATTAACGCAATATTTGTAACATACAGGTTGTGCATTACAAACGCTGTGTCGCCATGAAAATAAATCATTGCCCTGTGCTTTCACTTGCGGAAAACAAGAAAGTTATACTAGCGTCTTGCCGGGCTCGTCATCGTGACCGGTTAGTGAATGTGAGCCTTTGCATCACATTGTGAGTACCCAGTGATCGTATGGGGTCACCAAAGTTCATTCAAAGTGAACGCTGCGTGAAGTATAGGGCTCCAGAATGGGGGAATTATTGATTTTAGGAAGTGGCTATTCTCATCCGGGGTGAGAATAGAAAAACGATCAACCTCTCACCCCGGGTGAGACTTGCCAGCGTAGGCTATTCTCACCCGGTGCGAAACAAGACCTGCTTTTCCTCATTTTGGAATACTGTCTATCGGTGTGGATGATCAAATTGATAAACGCCAAGAAAAAATTACGTTATAGCACAAAAGTAACTAATTTGATCTTCTTCAAAGATGCTATATGGCTATTTCACTGTTCAAATCGAGCCGAACTACGCGGGTCACCATTTTGTTTTGCCCGGAAGTTCTCGCAAGATCAACTCCTCCCCTCTTCTCTCTCTCTCTCTGTTTCTTTCTGAATACTGTCTATCGGTGTAGACGATCAAATTGACCAAAACAAAGTTAAAAAATGATGTTAAAACACAAAAGTAAATTCATTTGGTTGTCTACAAAGATGCTACGGCTATTTAACTTTTCGAATCGAGCCGAACTACGCGGGTCGCCATTTTGTTTTGACCGGAAGTTCTCGCGCTACTCCTCTCTCCACTGCCCACAGACAAAATTGTACGCTTTTAGTAGGCTACAGTTGTAATGGAACGTTTGTTCACTGCACAGAATTCTACAATTTTTCTGTTATCACAGTGTAGAATTCTGGGCGCTTTTTCGGTAGTTCCCACCCCGCAATTGTTATTCACGGGTTTTGGCCTCAAGAGTTGGGGGGTTTCAGGGGGGCTTGCCCCCCTGACCTAACAAAAATAGGAAGGGGGGGTTTCAGGGGGGCATGCCCCCCTGAATTTTACCACAATTTAATGTTTTGCTATGCCTATTGTTAGGTTTGATATCTTAGCTCATCGCGAATCAAAAGTATAGATCTAGATCTAGATCTAGATATAGATGTAGGTCAGGCTCAAATAAGAGGGGTGGGACCTACCGAAAAAGTACCGAATTCTGTGGTTTAGGGTGAATGCAAAATTTGTTACGGTTAACGCGCAGCGGGTGAGAATAGCCAAAAGACTCGCCAGCACTATTCTCACCCGTGAGAATAGAGGTGGCCCTTTTTTTATCAGCATGTGTCAGTACAGGACAAATATTGATTTACTTTCATTACAGTTACCGTGTACGCAGATACTGAGAATAGATACTAAGACTAAGTGCCCGGTTACCGTGGGCGTAGACACACCGTTTGTGTAATTTACTGACTTGACTTTGTGCACGATGACGATCCAAATAGGCCACCTCTATTCTCACCCGGAGTGAGAATAGTGCAGGCGAGTCTTGTGGCTATTCTCACCCGGTGCGCGTTCACCAAATTTTGCGTTCACCCTAAACCACAGAATTCTACACTGTGATAACAGAAAAATTGTAGAATTCTGGGCGCTTTTTCGGTAGTTCCCACCCCGCATTTGTTATTCGCTGGTTTTGGCCCCAAGAGTAGGGGGGTTTCAGGGGGGCCTGCCCCCCTGACCTATTAAAAACAAGGTGGGGGGTTTCAGGGGGGCATGCCCCCCTGAATTTTACAACAATTTAATGTTTTGCAGTTGTTAGGTTTGACATCTTAGCTTGCCGCGAATCAAACGTATATAGATCTAGATGTAGGTCAGGCTCTATCAAATAAGGGGGGTGGGAACTACCGAAAAAGCGCCGAATTCCGTGCCGTGAACAAACGTTCCATTACAACTGTAGTCTACTAAAAGCGTACAATTTTGTCTGTGGGCAGTGGAGAGAGAGAGAGAAAGAGAGAGAGGAGTAGCGCGAGAATTTCCGGGCAAAACAAAATGGCGACCCGCGTAGTTTGGCTCGATTCGAAAAGTTAAATAGCCGTAGCATCTTTGTAGACAACCAAATGAATTTACTACTTTTGTGTTTTAACATCATTTTTTAACTTTGTTTTGGTCAATTTGATCGTCCACACCGATAGACAGTATTCAGAAAGAAACAGAGAGAGAGAGAAGAGGGGAGGAGTTGATCTTGCGAGAACTTCCGGCGGGTGAGAATAGCCACTTTCAATCATCCAAATAATGAATAATGTGCAGCTGCACGTGTCAACATCATCAACAAGACGGACAAGTATTCATATTTCTAACCCTTTTAACAACAAACATTAGAATAACTGCTTACCATGAGCTTCTCGTTTTAAATTTCTTTTACTCCTGTGTTTCCCATGATTATGGGACTTATTTTTCTGCTTTAACGTCGACCTGTGCCCTGCACCAGCCATGCTGCTTTTTGTTATGGTTTTGTTTTCTTTCCGGAAGTACCTGTCATCGTTCTTTTATATAAACTCCTAGTCAGGCACAATCGAGTGTGATAGGCCTAATCGGGAGGGAGATCATTTATTTATTTTTTTTAACTTTCCAGGCATTGATATAGACCTTTGTCTAATTAGTTGGGACTTAACATTCAAGAACCCTCAATTGTTTTTCTTTCTGTCTGCATCATATCAGTTCCCTTCCCCCAAACAATCTATTGCTAGACCAGCGAGCAAGTCATCGCTAGGTAGCCAAACTGGCTTTGTAGCTCTTATGTATAGAAAATAACTTTCGGCTGGGTTTCAGGATCATCAACAACAACAATCAACAACTTCTACTTTCGTTTTCTAGACAGCAAGACAGTTGGTGGCGACCACAGAATTAATGGTTGCCATGGAAGATTGAATTTGGAAAGCAGAGTTTCCATGAGAAGAGTTTTGTTGTGTTTCTGGGGATGCTTATTATGCCCTAGTGGCATTTTTTGGGTCAGTTTCTTCTTTAGTTTCTCCACACATTTAAAAATAATGGTGGAAGTTGTAAGGCACACGAATTGTCAGGGGCACATAATATTATTTTTCAAAGTCAAGGTCGTTCGGCGTTGCCCGACCCCCGATTCATTTACCCATTTCACTAGTAATCACTAGGCCTAGCGTGTTTTAGAAGAAGGTACAAAGAGATCGAGACTCGTGACAATGTGGATGGTATGGTACCTTGACACCCAGACCGTTGAAAACAGCACATCTGATTTGAACTTTGACAACATTTTAATGTATGATATAATTTGGCCTGCTTCAAGCGTTCCATCCTATGAGATCAGAGAGTTTACAGTAATACTAGAGAGATGACACTTCGCCCGGATGCGCGTATCTGGGTCACCAGCTGATCGTGGAGAAACGCGCGGTAAACAATACAAACTGCGTCCATTGTTCAAGGCATTTACGTTGATCGCAGACAAGCATGACCCCGGTTAGCACGAAATGTCAATTGTGTTATGCTATAAACTGCACCTATTAGAATGAAAATCTGAGTTTCTTTCGATTTCCAAAGAATGACGAATGTATTTTGATGCATAGAGAATAATATAGATCTAATTAATAATGACAATGGGATTGTGTCCTACTAGACTGACACTCCATGCACAAACTCAAAACACTTCAACTTTGTTATATCAGCTATAAATTGGGTTTTTTATCCTGTCTAAATGCCCAAATTGAGCTTGCATTCTACTAGTGAAAGATATGTTACCTGGCTCTGCGAAAAGTTGTCTAAATACAAAGTGCCATCGATCGGTTTTGCTACTTTCTTTGTCCGATTACTATTACCTCGATCGGTTTTACTACTTTCTTTGTCCGATTACCTTTTCTTTGGGGGGG